ATTTAGTGGAACATCCCATTTGAATCACAGTTACGACCCATGAAGACATGAGCTAACGCATCTCCACATCAACGTGTTTAGTGGACTTGCTAATGTTATGAATGTAATAGTTTTATTATCAATGTATTTGGGCAATGTATTAACCTTATGAAAAATCTATTCCATTCAATTTCTTGGTTTTGGAAGGACTATTCTGCAATTTTTGTTTTTGAAAAAAAAAGGTTTTAACAACCTACTATTTTGTCTCAGTTTTATAAACCTTTCAAAGTACAATCATCTTCAAACTTCAATATGGATAGTCTAAGCCCATCTTTAAGAGTCCATAACCCATCTTCATAAGCCCATTTCATCCAAATCTTCAACACACCAAGCCCAATTCTTCCAAAATGGATCCACAAAGCCCAATAACTCCTTGCAAGCCCACTAAGCCCAACAACAAACTAATCTGCAACCACAACGAGACTCTAAAAACCTACAAAACACCTTATGCAAAATATAAAAGTACCAGATACGATCCAAGATAAGGAAAGAATAGAATATTCAATGCAAAAACAATAAAAGAAATGCTAAAAACATTAAAATAAACTATATAAAAGAAGTAAATAAAACAAACTATCATCTCCTCAAATCCAACGTCTCTGAAAAACAGGATTGAAATTCTCGGGTGTATGCTCAGGTTTATTTTCTTGACAGTTTCTAATTAGTTCTCAGATTAAAATACAGTTTTTGTCCGTAATAATAACTGTTTTTTTGCAATTTTGTTCCTTATTTGAGGTTTTGTAACGTTTTTGGTCTTTCTTTGAAGTAATATGACTATAGGTTCTTCATGTGTGGCATAAGCTGGCTGGAAATTCATGTACAAGTGTGTAAACCAACTACTTAATCGGCTAAACATAAGCACCAATTAGGAAAAGAATGTCCATGAGATAAAATAAAGAATGCCACCAAGTTATCACACTCTTTAATCGTTTTTTTGTAGCATTGTTTTATCATCTTTTTACGACTATATATTTACCAAAAATTTTTTCCCTACAATGATCACTATGGAAAGTTTTATGTTATGTTTGATTGTTTGATGATTATTTTTCATTTCAGTAACTTGCGAAATACTTTAACCAATCTTCTAAAAGATTGGAGAAACAAGTTCCAAGAAAAGCAAGATTCTATAGGGGTCTAATAAGGTCCCCTTCGACTGTCTTTAATATTCTTTATTATAGCATCCCACTTCAATTTTTCCTTATTTTAGCATTGTACTTTAAAACATCTATGTATTTAGTGGAACATCCCATTTGAATCACAGTTATGACCCATGAAGACATGAGCCAACACATCTCCACATCAACGTGTTTAATGGACTTGCTAATGAGTGTAATAGTTTTATTATCAATGTATTTGGGCAATGTATTAACCTTATGAAAAATCTATTCCATTCAATTTCTTGGTTTTGGAAGGACTATTCTGCAATTTTAGTTTTTGAAAAAAAAAGGTTTTAACAGCCTACTATTTTGTCTAAATTTTATAAACCTTTCAAAGTACAATGCTTTAATGGGAAAAAAGGTAAAAGTAAAATCCTGACTATAACACAAAACAAAAAAAATACCCAGGACGAATGCGGAGCTTTTTTACTAGTTTTATTAAACTTTTAACAGCTTTAAATAATCTTTATGGCATCCTAATTCTTTTTAATTTTTCATAATTAATAGACATTTTAATCTTTCCATAATTCAAATCTAGTATTATTATCTTTTACAAAACGATTCTCAATAATATACATATTTGTTTTCATGTAGAGTTAGAATTGTAAAAACATGTAAAAAAATAACTTTACATATCCGTTTTCATGTGCACTCTTATTTATAATTAAATATAACCCTACTATAAATTATGTTTTGCATATTCTTACATACACAAAAATTTTTGCAGCGTTGTGCAGGGTGCTATCTAGGGGTAAGAATCGATTCAGTTTATGGGTTCGTTGGTTTCTTCGGTTTGAAATTATTTGGTCCAAATCGAAAACCGAATTTAAATTCCTCTAGGCCAAACCGAAAACTAAATTCCAATTTGGTTTGGAAACCGAAAGGGCTAAAATGTCATTTATTTACATTGATTATGTAACATTTTTATTTAATATATAAAATATAAAATATATTTTTAATTAATTATTTAATGCAATTTATTTTTTCGCTTCGGTTTGGTCTATACTTCATGATTCATGAGACTAAAACACAAACCAAATACCAAATACAAAATTAGGTTTGGTCTCGGACCAAACCAAAAACCGAATTTGAATATGATTTGGTCTGAAATCGGTTTCGGTTCAATTTGGTTTTCGGATTTTTCAGTTCCAAATCTAATAATCCCCCTGTAGTTAAACCACAATACGTAATGACATGCTTCAACATGGTTGAAAGTCAAAAAAAGACTAAAAATAAATAAAAACTAATCCCACAAGTGAATAGAGCCGTCAATTTACAAATGTGAGGGGATGTTACTATATTAGTGACTAATGTTCACGCTTGCCACGAGCCTTGAGTTTACCAGGAAGGGGAGGTCTATTGGATGGTATGGTGGTCCCACCGATTGCCATGTCATCCACAGACCCACCCTTTGCCATGTCATCACCTCCTTTTGATCGACCACATAACTTCATTTCCTTGAGTACATAATTGTCATAATGTAGTTCAAACGGGGTGCTTCAATTATATGCAAAAACAATTAGGTTAATAATGAATTCAAGTCAAAGAAAAGTCAACCATTCAGGTCCAAATAGCCAAATTTACTTACTTACCCATTGAAGTCAAAATGGACGAGTTGCGTATTTTCCGACATTTCAATCTCGACTTCCGCATGAGAGTGAGTCTACAAAGGGGCAAAAACGTAATTTCAGAAAATTTTAATAATGTAAAAAAAAAAAAATGTGTCAAACAAACAGCTGGTACCTGTACGAGTACAAAAGGTAAAGCGAAACCACCGGGTGGAGCAATTTTGGAACCATATAATTGCTGATTGTGTTGTATCAGATTCTTTACAGCTACATACTTTGTGAGGGTAAAAAGGGAAAGTTAGTGCACAAAGGAACTCAGTCCTCATTCCTGACACAATTTTGTAAAAGAAATATTGAGAGTGACTACAATCATTCTCACTTGATCCTCCAATTCTTGTAAATATGCTGATTTCATCTCAAATCTGTTTCGTATAGCAAGCCTCTCACTCTGTATTTTTCAGATAAACATAAACAAATTAAGAGTGATTGGTAATTATTTAGTGATATTCCCATAATTAACATAAAATGAGAAAAGACCTTTAGCTCTTGAATATGGTTAGGGGTAGTGTGAGGCAAACCCTTCCTTTTTATCTTTAGAAATAATATCCATAGCCATTAGAACATTTAGTGCATCATAAACCCTTCTACGAATGTTCTTCTCATCATATTGATGCTGTTGTAACCATTTAAGTACAATAAATAAATAAATAAATTTCATGTGATAGGTTTGGGACATACATGAGGCTGGCCAGAAGCTTGAACACCATTGTTAGGGTCTGAAAATTCAGCCACAAGTTCATCTGCAACCTGGAATTCAACTTTCCATTCTTAGTAATCTGGAATGGAATTGTTGCTTTGTTTGATCTCAATTTGAGTTCATGGTTAACAAAAGAACAGGTGAACGAAAGTAGAAGAACAAATAACTGAATCTACTAACCTCATTATATGTGGTTCTTCCCTTGCTTTCAACTTTCTTGCACACTAGTTATATCAAAATCAAAGTAAACATGAATCGAATTGAAAAGCTTTGTAGATATGAGAATTGTGTTATGCTTGTTTAATAAAAAACAAGACATTTATTACAAACCTTTTAAGCTAAATTGCCTGAGTCCTCTACCATTTTTATCCCCTCTGATTTTATTAGTTAAATGGGTGAATTGTTGTGATTGATTATATTTTGGATTTCCATTATAAACTAACTATTTTTTTGTATTTTTTAGAAGATGAACATATGTGCTTGGTAGCCTCATGGGGAAAACAGGACAAGTTTTTTTGAGAAACAATTAGAAGGCCACTAGTTTGCTATATCAACATTTTCATATATTTGGTGTTCATTACATAATAAAGAATTACCTTTCTTCCATTTGTATATGTAAATAATATAGACTCTTTGGTAAGTATTTTAATGGAATCATTAAGATGCAGCCTCTTAATGGTTCGGTATTAAAAGTATTTGGTTGTTCAATTTTTATTTATTTATTTATTTATTATTTATCTCTGATTCGTTCATTCCGTCGGAGGTTCACTTAACCATCATTTTAGCAAGTGAGTTGAAAATGTTTTCAATTCCAACCCTTAGGTTTGATAATGCTGTCAAATTTAGTCATTTCTCTTCTAGATTGACTATTTCCCATAAATATTTATAAACCTTTCTTTTTATTTTATTATTTTCATTAATTACGTAATTATTTGTTTTATTTTATTTAAAAAAATATTTTCACTATACAGTACAAAAACTCTAGGCTTAATTTAGATATGTTACATAACAGAAACTCGAACACATCTAATGACATAAAGGGAACAATTTTACAAATTAACAAATTTGAAGAATGAAAAATAGTGAAGATAAAGTTTTGCATCTTTCTGCTCGATATCTTGGAATTCTACTCCCCTAATAATTTATTCTAGTTCCTTCAAAAGTTATCTTATTTAAAGATTCGTTATATTATACCTTTTATGGGCACGCAGATGGACAAATGACATCCAAAATTAACAACCTCACACGCTCACACACCACTAGTTTGATAGATATAATACTCTTGTGACTTGTAGGATTATTTCTATTTATGATATCTACTTATTTTACCTCATTCCTTTTCACCTAAGAGAAGGGATATTGACCGTTTGAGATTCTTAACGTTATGTCATATACTCATATTAGTTTATTATTTATTTACAAAAATGGTCCCTAAACTATGATCAATTATACATAGGGCTGTAAACGAACCGAACACGAACAAAGGCTTGTTCATGTTCGTTCGTTTAAGCTAGCCGAACAATCGAACGAACACGAACGGATAAACGAACGGAGTTTTCTTGTTCATGTTCGTTCGTTTAACAAATTGTCTTATTCATGTTCGTTCGTTTATGTTCGTGAACATGCTAAACGAACATAAACGAACGAACATAAACGAACAAATATAAACAAACACAATTGAACATATATGAATATAAACGAACTATAATATAGTAATGTAATAAAAAAACAATTGAAAATATATGAACATAAAAAAACTTAAACGAACGAACATAAACGAACGTAAACGAACAACATAAACGAACGTTCACGAACGTAAATGAACGAACGAGACCATTTTTCATGTTCGTTCGTTTAACTAAACGAACGAGAATTTGTGTTCATGTTCGCTCGTTTATTAAATAAACGAACATAAACGAACTTCCCGACGAACAGTTCACGAACGGTTCGCCGAACGTTTAGTTCGTTTACAGCCCTAATTATACAACCCACACATTTACAAGGTCTTTGTAATATTGAATATAAATATACCCCAAAATGTTCAAGACATTGGCAATAATTGTCTAGATTTTAAATATTTAAATGCTATGTCCGAAGTTGAAAACTTTTACAAAGTTTTGGTGCCTTAAGTTGAATGGTAGTGGTACTGTGAGCCAAACATGGCTAGAAATCACAAAATTCTAACTAGCACCATTATTTATAGGTTCAAAAACTTACAACCTTTATCTCAAAATTAGAGTTCTATAATTTAATTTGAAAGACAAATCTTATGACAAACTGTACTTATGTGATGAAATAATATGATAAAAACGTAAACAGCCTAAAAAAGCGGTAGTGGACACTGCTGATTGGACAGAAAAGAGCATTGGACTGAAAGAAGCCCAATTTAGTTACAAAATGTATTGGGCATTTGCAATAATAGCATACCATTTTTTTTACTATAAATCATTTTCTCATTTAAAATTCAACATCAAAATTTGTGGATGTACATAATTTGCGATAATATCCGTATTAAACAACCAAGCTCTAAAATAAAGTTTTTCACGATTAACAAGTTTATAAGCTTTGAGGATGGTTGTACGTCTCTTCTCTTCTATCTTTTATCTATCTATCTATTATATCTATTATAATAAAAAAATCAATTTTTGTCACATATCTTATCTTCCTTTCATTTAACCAAAAAGTTAAATTATCAACTTACCCTTATCTTCCTAATTAATAAGGATATACTATATTATATTATTATACCTCTAATTGAATAGATGGTTACCATATTCAATTTAAAAGCTCTAACACTTTGTGTTTTTCCATATCAGATTCAATTTTGAATCCTGTTTTAAATATAATGTAATTTTGTTTTGAACTTACTTATTAATATAAATTGTATCTTATTATTATTTAAAATTAAAATAGGTGAATAAAATAAATGTCTTCCTATTTTTGTATCAATTTATTTTAAGATTACCATTTCATTCAATTACGGGTAATTTGGAGAGTTTAATAGTTAAAAATAAATCCAATCTTTAGAATAAATAAGAAAATAGATAAAATTAATTACATTTTTTTAACATGTGACCAATTAAAAAATGAATTCATGGTTCTATTTTTTGCGTAAAAAAATTATTTAAATTTAAAGTAAAAAATTTTAATTAACACTATGAATGTCAATTATTTTAAAATATTTTTATTTTCAAAAACATAGTTTGAAAAAAACAAAAGATTTGACGTATATCTATAATTGGGAAGTACTACAATGCTATAATATGAACAAATGAAAGTAGGACGGTATAAAAAAAAAATTTGATCCAGTGTTTTTATATCGGTCAAACTGGTTGTCGGATGGGTATCACACTAATACATTATTATATAAGTATATGCTAGTTTTTCTTCATTGTACTTTTAACTACAAAAAATAGGTTATTTAACAAATTAAACTAAATATGATTTCTTTTAGTATTAAATTGATAGAAAAGACAATGAACTTAATTCAAATCTTGCTCGTATCAACTGCTTGTATATTTTCATAGAAAAAATAAGACTAAAAAATTAACGAACTTCTTTCCGTGACCCATATGTTTGCGACAATATAATAAATATAAAACATCAAATTTTCTAGGGTACATTGATCATCAATTCATATTAAAATAAAATAATGCACATACGTTATTATACACGTAAAAAGGTACAGGCCACATACGTTTGCTAAAGAAATTAAAAAATATATCCTAACTAAAAAGTAATAACATTTGATTTGAAACTTGGTAACGTGTATTGTGAGGAGTCGTCATTATTCATCATGGTAAAAAGAAAAAGAATATGGAAATTGAAATTCGTATGTTTTTTCACCAGTAACACAATTTATAGCATTCGCCATTCAGTTTGTTTTCATGCACATGTAAAATAGTGATATCTCAAAGATTTTAGGTGTCATCAATATGGTTTTTCAGATAAAATAGCACCAGCCAAAAAGAGAGAAAAAGTGGCATGAAAAATGAGGTATACATAATACATGTTAGAGTCTTGAAAATAATTTCTTTAAGAGAGATAAAAGTACTCGACCGACTTAAAATAAAATACATGTTAGTTAATTTTCTAAGGTGATTAAGGTGATGTAAATACATGTTTGTTTTGTTTTTTCTTTTAAATGTTTCTCTAATATTTTTGTTTATAGTCGGAGTATATTTTTTCTGAAGTTAAAACTTCCGTTTATAAAAGACTATAGACCTGATTAGGTTTGCACAACCTCTTGTAGAAAATATAGAACAGACCTTCTAACTAAAAAAAATAAAAATAAAAAAATAAAAAAATCAACCGTATTTCTTGTATGTTGTCTTCTTCAGTGATTTTCCACCTCTACTACCATGATGTCACCACCACCACTATTGTTAGATATCATTTAAAAATCAGTTTGGTTAATATGTGTATGTGCATATAGTTTGTTTGCTTCATCGATTAATATGGTTTAATATCATTTATGCATGATGTAGACTTAAAAAAAAAAACAAATAATCTTCTTTTTACAAGTTGCTAGTATACATCTTCTTCTACATACACATACACATATGTGGTACCTCATCAAAAAAAAATAAAAAAATAAAAAAATAAAAAAATAAAAAAATAAAAAAACAGCAGCTCCTACATTTCATTTAGCTCTCTTT